ATAGTCAGTAAAGTAGCAGTTTTAAAACATTTTTTCTTTTTCTTTTTAACTCCTTGCTTTTCCTTTTCCTTTTCCTTTTCCTTTTCCTTTTCCTTTTCCTTTTCCTTTTCCTTTTCCTTTTCCTTTCCCTTTCCCTTTCCCTTTCCCTTTCCCTTTCCCTTTCCCTTTCCCTTTCCTTTTTTCTTCACCTTCCCCTCCCTTTTTCCCTTTCCCTTCACCTTTCCTTTCCTTTCCCTCCATTTTTTCCTCCATAAAAACAGCTACATGGATTTATCTTCTCTTTCCCCCACAGCTGTATGTGTCTGCAGTGCAAAAGTCTGAGTTAACTCTGCAAAATCCTGCAATATTTCTCATCTTGCACAACACAAACCAGAACCTGATCCTATAACTCAGCATAACCCTTGAGCAACCTCTTTTCATATCTCCATGAAGATGAGGTCATGCAACAGATGCATGGCTGTCCTACTGTAAACATGGACTGTGACCTCCTATTGAGTCCTGGGGGTGCACTTGGAAGTATAGAGCTGTGCCCCAGAATGGGGAGCATCCTTACCTTCTGTCTGGGCATGCAGAAGACTACGATCCTGCAGAGAAAGAAAGAGGGAGTTCCCTCAGCCAGCTCAGGAAGGGGTGGAGGTCAAAGTTGAGATTCTGGAACAAAAGGAAAGCTGTGCAACAGGAGTTGTGTTTTACTCATGATTACGCTGTCTGTGCAGAGTGGAGAATGTGCTGAGAGTAAAAAAACTGTTTTGAAAACCTGATGCCAAACACTTTTGATATCTCGAAGAGAAAAAAAACAGATTAAAGCTGAAAAAGTATCAAAAATTATTTTAACTTGGGCTGTTTTTACTTTGAAATAAGAATTGCTATGAAGATTGCTATGAGTACTTGACTAAGCTAGCGCCTAGAGCCAGCGATTTCTGTCTCAGCCTCTCTTTCCCTGAATTTATGCTAGCACTGTTATTTAGTCTGTCACCCTTCTACTGTAGGGAACAACAAAAACATCTATATTGTTTTAAAATTTCAGTTGTCTTTGCAATAGCTGGGGATTTTGTCATCCAAATGCAGGCTCTTCTCTTTCCCCAAGGTTTTTATGGGAACAGTAATCAGAGATAAAGCTATTAAACTGCCAGCCAGGGATCATTTTACGGCATATTTGCGAGCAAGTATGATTATGAATGCTGCAAATAAATCTTATGAATTATTTTTCAGGTTTTTTGCTCGTATGTAATATACAGAGGAAAGGTTAGTGCATGCAGCTGTTTGTTACTATAAATTAATTTAATGCTGCACTTAAAAAATCATTGACCTGACAATGTTGGAAACAGAAGCCTTAATTCATTACATTTCTCTGCACAGTATCTCATGCTGCAGTTTCTATGGAAGGTGGCCTGTGATGATTTCTTCAAAGGTGAAGATAGAGCAATAAGTTGTGAATGCACAGATGTTTGTGATTCCTTTGGCTTTGCAAACTGAAATGCAGTGGACCATTGGGAAAAGACTGGCTTCTCTGGAAAGAATCTGAAGGAGTGACAGGAGGATGCTCGATTAAATTAGAGATTAATCCCAAACTTGGAAATCTTTTCTTGGTATCTTAGGTCAGCTGAATGTCTGGCCTGATGGTTGTCAGTACACAAGAACAGAATCCCACTAACTGCCTTCAGAATGAGAAGTATGATTTTTACTGATGATGTGAATTACATGCTCAGGATGAAAAGGCCTTTGTTCTTCTACACATACAATTTTATTGAAATTTGAAGACACAATTATTTAATTTTGCTCTCATTTTCCCAAGCTAATCTCTCTCAAAGGCCTTACCACAGCTTCTGTTTTTCCTGCCCTTCCTTTGTCTGGCTATAGACAAATATTGCTGACATCCCCCTTTGAGAAGGATTTGGAGTTTTAGTACTTGGCTCAGGGCTTGGTCAGCTTCAGGACCAGCTAGAAAACCTCAGTAGATACTAAAAACCAATGGAAGCTAAAGGAGGAGGGAAGTTGCTCCTGCAACAGCAGGAGCTGGACAAGTGAAGAGCAATGGCGCCAAGTGCACAGATGAGTCCCTGTCAGAGGTTCTCCTGGCCAGAAGAGGAGGTGGGAGGAGATGATGTGCCAGTATCTTCCTTCTGGGCAGCCCGTGTCCCGCTCCCGCACTCCCTGCTGTCTCCATCTGACTCCCCACAGCAGGGTTAGACATGTTTCTGCTTTGGGTACTCATAAGCAAAAATGGTGGTGAGTTATCCTGTGGGGTTGCCTTTGATTTATCCAGTTCTGTTAATATTATAGTTGTACCTGAATGTTCACTTAATCATACCACACTGTACCATATTTAGAGATATCATTTGGCCGAATTATCGGAAGAGATTGAATTAAAGTCTCCCAACTCCTTGAAAAGGTTATTTTATAACTTGTTGAAAAGAGACTTTGATGGTTTTCTTTCAAGTGGCTTTCTGGTGAAACAGCTCCATTTAAAAACAAAGCAAAAAAAAAAAATCATACAAAATCAATATAAAGAAAAAACAACACCTGTAGAAAACAAAAGACAACCAGGATGATCCTCTCACTTCTCTTGGGCAAGAGATGTAGTTATGGAACTTCTCTTATAGAGGAGGAAAGCAAATATGGACCACACATATCCTGAGAGCTATTGAAAATCATCTGGGCTAATGATAGTGATTCCTGCTTCAACAACTTTGTGATTTTTTGACTGTTTTTATTTTAAAGGCTTGAAAAAGGAAAAGAAAAAGAGTAAGAAAAAGAAAAAGGGGGGAAAAAAGGAAAAGGAAAAAAGAAAAAGGAAAAAGAAGGAGGGAAAAACAGAATGATCTATTTGGGTTAATGGAACTTTCAAAATTATAAATAAAAAATAGAGTCTCAATTTTGGAAATTGAGGGATAAAAAATGAAGTTGACCCCTATTCAGAAATGATCAAGGTATGCCTCATAATTTTTCATTCTCTTTACTGATGGTATTTCTGATTGTATTTCAGATGTATTTCAAATGTCTTTCAACTTTACACTTTCAGATACAAAATTCTGCTTTCTCCTCTGCAGACATCTCCTCCTACTCCTTGCCTAATCTTAAGTGCTACCCATATTTTTCTACCTACATCCACATCCAAGAATAATCTGCCTATCTGATAGTGATTTTTAATTTTTTTTCCCACTCAGCTGAACCTAGAGAAACACAGCATAGCTTGAGCCTTTAGTTCTAAACAGATTTCATTGTCTAGAATAAATTCTTTGGTGAAAAAAATGTAATGAGAAAGATTTAATGCTTCCCTTCACACATTCTCGAAGTATTTTCACTGTTGCTACTTCACTTAGCATAAATTCACTTAGCTAAGTAACATATGTTCATCTTACCTGTTCCCTATGCTAAGACTTCTGCCTCTGAAACGTGGCACAGAGTATAGTCAGCCTTCAGTGTGCATCTGTGATCCTGCAAAGACTCATTTGTACTTATTTTACTTTGTGCTTTTTCAGTGGTCCTATGAATACTGGTAAAGTCTTTGTGGGACCGGAATCCACAAAACTGATTTCCTGGAGTGCTATTTCGAGGGTGATCTTATGACACCCAGTGATAACTTTACCACTAAGAACAGGACTTGAACTAGGTGCTGTACAAATTCAATGTGACTCCTACGTGATTGCCAGCTTTTACATACAATCACAGGTTAGATAAAGCAAATATGGGAAATAGGAATGAGGAGGAGGGATGGAAGAGGTGAGTGTGAAAATGTTGCAGTGACCTAGTATTACGCAGCAGTATGAATCATCAAGATATTTCTTGAAGACAGATTTTTAAGGGACAGTTAATTTTGAACCCTGTTTATATTTAATCCCTTTTATTTTTCATGTGCTTATTTTATTTCTCCTTCTAATTTCCATACCAACAATCTGTAATTGTCACTATAGTCTTCACAGAAAGGAGTGCATCCACATGAAATGCTTCACATATGGAAGACTTCATCTTAAGTACCAGCCTATAAATGACAAAGAATCTCAGTGAAAATCTGTAGGTAGCAAGAAAATATTTGCAATTCCAGATGGATAGAAAAACTGTCAGAAACCAGAAAAATATCATAGACCTTAGGCTCTTTTGATTCATTCTATAAATTCTGACTGCTACCAAGAGGCAAGAGGAAAAATCATGTTAAAAAATAAGATGTAAATATTTAGTAGTGAACATATTGTGCGTGATGTACAACACACCTTACATCAAGGAAAAAATTAATGCTGTTTCTTAAAAAAAATTCACTAATGCACATTTCATGTTATGTATACCTGTTTAACCACTTCCTAAAAAGGTTGCAAAATTTTCCAGAGCTCTGGAATTTTTTTTTAATTATTTTTTTTATTATTTTTATTTTTTTGGAGCCTACAGTACAAAATGTTTACTCTGAGTTTTAAAAAGGGAAAGGAAGATCTATAACTAAGACAAATGGATGGAAAAAAATTATATGTGTCTCCTGTTTTGAGTGTAAAATTGACTCATACGAAGCTGATTTCTAAGTCTTCTAACGTGTAAGAACTTCCTTTTGATGAGTTTTGACTCAGTGTATGACACCTACTTTGCTAAACCTTTCCATTACTATTGTTCAAATGTGTTATTTATTTAAAATTGATAGAATCAAACAGAACTGTCTGTTAGAAGTCTAGACAAGACAAAATGCAGTTGGTCACACATTATATTAACATATATTTATTATCTTAATCAATTGGTTCAGAAATTGGCTTTACCAACGTGTAGTAACAGCTGTTTAGTGATATACCAGTACAATTTAAGAATGTAAAAAAAATATTGCGTAGGGAGATTTAATGGGTTATATTAAGCATCTCATACAGAAAGGATTGTTTTCAAGCACATGTACTTTTGTGATATCCAATGAAGAAGTAACAAACTCAAAGCTAACAAAAAAATTAGAAACAACTGCTCCTAATTTAATTTAATTATACCAATCAATTAGATGACAAGAGTAAAAAAGAGGTAATTAAGACTCTGGGAATAGAGTTGGGATTTGGCAGGTGTGGGGGTGAGAGGCTGAGCTCTGGTAGAGCAGCCAAGAAGAGAAATTATTCACAGGTATGTAATCAAACAGGACAACCTGAGAGCAATATTGTATTAGTTTATAAACCTGACATATCTTCTGGTGTTTGTTGGTTTGTTTGTTTTTAATGAATTTAGTTCTCATCTCTCAAAGAAATGTTATGGATCTTTGAATAGCTCTGACTTAGGTTAGAGGCTGTTTTTTGTTAAATGTAATTGTTGATGTTCTCTCCCAAGGAGTGTTGGTGCTGCCCATGTTGCTTCCCCGTATGCACTGGATGAATTATATCACATACTAAATGTTGATATGCTGTGCTCAGAGTTGCTGAATGCTTTCTTCTAGAAGTACAATTGCTATGAAAATTTTAAGGGTAGAGTGGTAAGCAATTGCAAATTTGTTCTGGAGCAGTATGGTTGCAAACAACCTTTGTCAGGTTGCAGGCAGGGTTTCACAATGACTTGAAAAAGCATTGTAGACTCAGGTGAATGGTGGGAAGTGAGAAGTGGGAAAATGTATTTTGGAATCCAATCTTTCTCTAGTCTAGGCTATGCGGGCCTGACCACGTAACATGAGATTTAATACATTTTGTAAAGTCGCACTAGGTTTTTCTGTTTTATTATTATGGTAACTTGTTAGCTGATTGCTTTACGGTGATTGAGGAATTTGATAAATGGATTTTGACATAGAAGTACTGCAGAATGATGTTGCTATAGTTATTACATTTATGATAGGAATTGAGGCTTTCTACTCATTGGCTGAAGATGTCATCTACAAGTCTTATTTCCAGACTTACGAGTGTTCAGTGCCTCTAACCTGTGCCCTTGTTTTAACAAAAATATTTTCAGAGAAAAGCGAATTACTGTGTAGATGGGTTTGAAACATTATTTGGTGGAAAATATGAGTGGTTGTTCTGCACTTTTGGCTTCTGAAGGAAAGGTGTCCTGTTGCAACTCAGGAAAAAAAAAGTGATGGTAAAGATGTTGTAATTTGGAAGTAGTCTGTACTGTTTTCAAAAACTCTTACTCTTTGAAAGACAGTAAGGAGCTTGACTTTTTTTTTTGTTTACAAATCCCTACTAGTAAACCTGGAGAGTTAGCTTGGCCTGGATAATGACAGATTTACTGAAATTATTTACAGCAATATTTTGGGATTTGTACACTAATGAAAAACTTGTGGAAAAACTCTGGAGTTTTTTAGTTATGTAGCTGTAAGCCATAAATTGTGCTTTTGTTGATGTTCAAAATTAAAGTACTCTAGAGTTCAAGACAAATAGTTTATGTAGCTGGAGGATCACTTCCTTCAACATTAATTTGATAACAAGGTACATCCTATTTATTACAGCATGAAATAGTTACAGAAACACTATGTAGTACACAGTAAGTATCTATCCTCATTCCTAGCTCTAGCTTTTGCCTTCAATACTATTTTAATAAAAAATGCTTCAACACTGCTTTTCCTGCAGGCCCCTTTTAGGTTTTGGAAGGTTACTATAAGGTCTGCTTGGAGCCTTCTCTTCTCTAGGCTGAACAATACCCGCTCAGACTTTCTTCACAGGAGAGGTGTTCCAGCCCTCTAATCATCTCTAGGGTGCTCCTATAACTCCATATCCTTCTTATGCTGAGGGTCACAGAGCTGAATGCAGTACTCCAGGTGGGGTTTCACAAGAGTGAAATAGAAGGGGAGAACCACTTCCCTTCTCCTGCTTGCCATTCCTCTTTTGATGCAGCCCAGGATGCAGCTGGCTTTCTGGGTTGTGTGTGCACATGACCAGCTTGTGTCCACCAGTATCTCAAGTCCTTCTCCACATGGCTGCTCTCCATCCATTCATCTCTGTGTGTAGTGATACAGAGGGGTTGATACAGGACCTTGCACTTGGCCTTATTTAACTTCATGAGGTTTGCACAGGCCCACCTCTACAGTCTGTCAAGGTTTTTCTGGATGGCATACATAACTTGGTGTGAGAGTACACTCAGTCTCACTGTCTGTGTCACCAACAAAAGTGTTAAATAGTGCCGGTCCCAGAAAACTTTTCTTTTACTCCTGTTGGTAGATGAAAGTCAAATAATAGAGCAGTGTTCTCCAATTCTTATCACGTGTTGTGAAGTGAGTTGCAGTATAAGGATTATAGGGATTCCTCCTGTCCATGTAACACAATTGTTGTGAGCTGATTTTTTAAGTTGCCATGAGTAGGTTGCAAGAGACCAGTCAAATACTCTGCTGTTGTCAAGGTGCAACATTTGCATTCTGAATATATCCTGGCTCACAGGCTGACTAAAGGAAGATTTTAGCCTTTCACTATTGCAATAGCAAATGTTCATGATGATATTTGCTAGCGAGACCACTCTGACCCCAACATAATGATTTTTTTTTTTCCTAGTCTATATTTAAAATAGAGAAATAGACACAGATTTTCCTTTTCAATCAATAAACCTGGTCACAGGTTGTTCATTGTAAGTGCTTATTATCAGATACCACTTAGTCCATTTGTTTTGGGTTTTATAGATAGAAAATAGCTAGTCCTTTGTAAGACAAGAGTAGCCATTAGCACATGGGATTGAATTCAGCTTGAAATAATATATATTTGAAAGAGTTAATGAAGACTTACTAAATCATTACAAGAAACTTTAAGATGACAGATCTATTTATCTTGCCTTTTCTAACGCACTTGACAGCAGTCAGGGTGATATTTTATTTAGTTGGAAAAAAGTAGGTTCAAGGTGTTGGGATGCATAAGATTTGCTGATGAATCTCTTTTGCCATTTAAGATCATATCACTAATGTTAATAATTAAGGACCAAGATATATTCCTAGCAAAGGCTTCAGATGTAGGCAATGGCTCTGAAAATTGGACAGAAGTATAGAAAAGAAAGTATCAACTATTGCCTAACCATCCTATGTTGTTATCTTTTCCTTACAGTAACCACTACTGTGCCTCACAGCACACAGAAAAACAAAAGTATTAAGTGCCAAAATCCTCTATATATCAGGAAATTTCTTTGTAGTTCACACAGTTGCAGATTCTTTCCTGCTTTGAAGCAGGAGCACTTTGAATAGCCCTTCTGAACCAAATGCAAGTATCTGTGACAAGGTTTTTTTGCTCTCTGGACAGGACTTGGAAATGATTATAAGAATGCAGAATGAAGTTATACATAAACTGCTCAGTTCATATATTTTCAAACCATTTCTTGATCAAACTATAATGGCAACTTTACTGCATGTGAGAAATTTGCATTGCAAATTTACATAGCGGTAAGGCCATGAGCCAGACCTCCTACCTCGCCCTATTCCTCCTCATCACACATTTGGCTTGCTCTTTAGATCTAATGAAATGTGCAAAATGAGCATGATGGTTTTGCCCTTTGTTGATCTCCACATTTTCATAAGCTTGTGAGGCTCCAGGGCAGGGATGATTTTTATCCAGCCTCTAAGCCTTTTCTAAATATGTATAATTAGGTTTGTAAAATTGCTTCTGTTTTAAACTCGCATCTGAAATTGTGAGCTGATTTCCATTCAACTTTAACAAAATATTTCAGCTTTGGCATAGAGGAAAGCATGAAAGAGCATAAGATTAAAAGGAATTAGAGTATTATAAGCTACTAAAAATGGCCTAAAATGAAATTTTACCTCTTGTGAGACTGATAGTTACTCTCTTTAAATTAGTAAGTTGGCTCAGCATGTGCACAGTTTGTGTATCCTTTTAAAGATGTTTTGTATCCTTCTAAAGATGTTTCATGAAAGCTTTTGGAGGGCTTTAAGGAGTGATTTCCAGACAGCTCCTGATGTTCATCTTATTTCCTGGTTAGATCTCATACTTTGGAGCCTGGACACAGCCTCCTCTTCCCTGTTGCTCTGATTGTTATGACTGCTGCCTTGCTGCCAGCTCATCAGTATTAGCAAAACTTGATAGAATGCGCTCTGCTCCAAGTTGCTGCTTCTCCCAAGATACTGGTTTATCTGCATGGGTAGCTGAGGATCTTCAGATCCTCCACTTGGTGTCTAATTTGGGTGAATCTGTGGTAACCCTGAGAAGTGTTAGTGCTCGCCTGAGTGCATCAGCAGGGGAGAGGGACAGGAATTGCATTTGTGTGTCTGTGGCCACTTTTGGATCAGACTTGGTTCTTAGAATCATTAAGATTGTAAAAGACCTCTAACGTCATCTAGTCCAACTGTCAACCCATCCTCACCATGCCCATTGATCATACTCCTCAGTGCCACATCTCCATGTTTCTTGAGCACCTCCAAGGATGGGGACTCTACCACCTCCCTGGGCAGTCTGTTCCAATGCATTACCACTCTTTTGGAGAAAAAATTTTTCCAAATATGCAACCTGAACCTCCCCTGGGGCAACTTAAAGCCATTACTTCTGATCACTAGTTTCCTGGGACATCAGGCCGACGCTTGCCTTGCTACAACTTCTTTTCAGAGCCATATAGCTTATATAGAGCTACAGGGTCTGTTTTCACCTGTGTATATAGCATATAGCAGCCATTCTACAACCATTTCTTCTAATCCTAAGAATTTCAATCTTTAGAGTTGGATCGGTTGTCTTCATGAGTTAGGAAAAAGAAACATATTGCTTTCTGATGAATTGGCAGGCGACTTCCCTAAAATCATAACTATGGCTTAATTGCTTTTGAAAAATGACACAATGCAATGTTATATCTTGCAAGGCATTAAATGATGTGGAAAATCTATTAGAGACCCGCTGAGATGTGAATAACACCTCAGGACTAAACAAGCAGCCCTGTGTGTGTTAACTTCCAAACCATAAGGCATGAGCTCTAAAACCATTTGCATGTATGACATACCAGATAAAATTACACTTTTATGATAAATACAGCAAGCTGTTGGATAAAGAATAATTAAAAACAAAACAAAAAAATGCTTTGTTGTTTCTTGATCAGTTATTTGCACTAGGGTTGTTTAAAGTTGGAGGTAATGAGGATCATGTCCATGCTCAGGCAGTATAAAATGGGACCACAAGCATGAAGAAGAGCTTCAGTGTGTGAATTTCCACCTGGTCTTTTCCCCTGCTACATGTTGGTTTCTGGCAAGAGCTAAGCTCAGATCTAAGGGAAATATCAGCTGTTAAATTAGAAAGCTTTTGAATTGCAGAAAGGGATATGGATGAAACATTGGAAAGGACAGTAAAACATGATAAAATAAGCTCTGAGCATTGTGCCAGTTTCCATCGCGGGGCTACCAAAGCACTCTGAGGCAAAAAGTATCACTTGGAATTGAGGCAAAATTGAGTACCACCTCATTAAGCTGCAGTGGCTATTTCTCTTTTGGTCTGGATCTTGTGATCTCACAAACTGTACAGCAGCAGCAGTCAATATTGAAGATGTGCAAGCACACCTGTATGTGCAGGCTGGGTGGGGGCACAAGTGCTACTAACAGCAGGTAGGTTTTTTCTTTTATCCACATTTATCTGGACAGAAGATGAAAAAATATCTGCTGGGATGAGGACTGGGTAGTCTAAATCTCCTCTCAGATGTTCTTTACTTTGTTAGAAGTTATGCTGTGGAGGAAAATCCTAGACTGTGATTAGTGGATTTTGATTTTGAAAAACAAATAAGAAGAGAATCGAATCAAGATGCTGAAGTGTCAAATAGATTTATTCATTTATTTATTTATTTATTACCAGGACAGATACAAGAATGAGCTCAGCATTTGATGCAGAACGAACAAAATGTTTAATTTAGCAACAATTCTGCCCTGTCTATTTCATCAGCACTTGTTAATTGTATGCCTGATTTGGCAAATACAAACATGACATGAAGATGTTCAGAGAGAAATAGCTATTAAGATCTCAGCCTTCAGTTGGAGCTCTCTGGTTCTATTTTCTCACATCATTAAACCTCTCAATGAGGCTCAGCAAAGCCACTGCAGGTTAGAGACTTAAACAAGTGCATTAGCCTATCCATTATGAGGGTCACCAAAAAGACAGTTTCTTTGCAGCTGGGAAACTCTGATAAATAGTGTCACACTGCATAGGGACAGTGAGCTTCAGAGTAGGTTTTAGTTTGCACTGAAGTAATAGAAATCTGTTTGGTTGTCTTGGTCCTGAGCTCTGCATATTAACTTCATTGTTTTGTTTTCTTCCTTGCAGTAGCACAGAACAGAGAAGCAGCATCAAACACACCCGGTACATATACAGGTATTTAAAACCTATGTATCAGCTGTAATTGTTAACAGTTCATACACTTGCAGGTTCCAATTTAGCAAGTGCTGTTTTACTAACAGACCCCTGCCTCTCTATCCAATATGTTACTTTCTCTGCATCTATTTTATCTCAAATAGTTATTAACTCCCAAATGAAAGTTGCATGGAGATATAGGAAAGTTCAGTTTATGCTCAAAATATTTAGAAGTGACATCTGTTTCACCACCTCAGATTTTGGGCAGGTTGTGTAGACATACTGAATTTGTCTCGGTTCTGGCAGGATGACAAATCCAGGAAAATCAATGGGAAATGTGCTTTGGAAGATTCAGGATCTGCTTGATTCGGACTGAGAGTTCCAAAACTGAATGTATTTCAGTGTTCACATATATAGTTCCTGAGCTGATTGGTGAGTTAGAGTGACAGATCAGAGTTTGTGACATCTGTCCTGCAACTAAATCCAAAAGTGATTTAAAATGAACCAGTTATTTTTATGTTGGTTTTCTGTTCCAATCTTATGAATTTTAGGTCATGTGCAGTCACTTTAAAAAAAAAAAAAAAAAAGTTCAAAAATATGTACTATTTATAAAATTCTACTCAGTCCTCATTCAAAAATAAAGGTTAAAAAATATTAAAAATCAAAACAAATGAAAGAAACTTGCAGAAACTGATAAGAAAGAAAGAAAAAGCAAAGATACAATAGTGTTTTCAGTTTGTAGTCTTTCTCTGAGACACAATCTTGGTGCCTGGTCCTGAGTTTTGTGTATGACCTTCTTAACCCATTAAAATTTAATGAAAAACAGGACGCTCGGTTATTTCTAAAAAAAAAAATCCTCGCTGCCTTTTTTACTTCTGTGCACGTTGTGAAGTCATTACCTCCCGGCAAGCTCACGCTCAGCTGCTGTGATCAGCGCTGCAGTGCTGCAAGGTTACTGTAATCACAGCAGTGAGCCGAGTCCACGGGAAGATGTGGGGCACAGGGACAAGGACCAGAACCAGATCTTGAAACAGAGAAGACCAAAGCAGTTTTAAATAACTTGTTATCCTTGGTATCCTGAGGACAAAAAGAAAGCCATCCAGCTTTGATAGGTTGACTGCTGGGGAGTCGGAAATCCAGCAAGGCAGATATGGAGGAAGACTACATAAATGCATCAGATACAAGCAGAAACATGCTGTGGAAAGTACTGATAAGTAACAGCATACCAGGCTGATATTTTTCTTTCCTCCAGCGAATTTGTAATGGCGATGCCTACTGGTGAATGGAGTTGCTAACTGGTTTTCTGAGGGCCTCCTTGGAAGCCATGCGGTGTGCTTAGTCCTTCACGTGGACCTCTCAGTGGAAGTCACGTGTGTAACTTGTCCCTTATTTATGCGGTGATGATGGCATAACCCAAATTCCCCATTGAGTGGGTACTTCCTCTTCTCAAATTTATTAGGACAATGTGGCTTCTCTGCTCCTGGGTTCTGTGGTATAGGCTTTCTGGGTTTTCAGCCTGGTTCCACTTTAACTTCGTGAAAACAACCTCAAAGATGAGAGCAACCAACTTTTAAAGATGAGACATTGCCTTTAATAAGGCAAAAGATCCCTCAGTGATATTTTCCTTTTGGGAGACTTGTCACATAGATCACAATCAATTAGCCATGAAAAGAAACATTTCAAGCCCTTAAATAACAGCAGTGTGACTTGAAGAGCAGAAGAGATCAACACTGCTCTGTTTTTACTGACATTGAATTTATTATTCACAACTTTCTCTAGAGATCATAAAACAGATGTTCAGACACAAGTGACAGACACAATTATTCTTTGAAATTAACAACTGCATATTTTGCAGGGATAGTTAAAAGCAGTATGGGGCTTTTGTCCACTATGTATCTTATTTTTGCATGCACTTTATTTCTGGCATTTTAATTCTACCAGTGAGTGGCAAGGAGGCTGGCAGAAGACAGCAACCGCATCAGGCTTTTGTCTTGGTGTCATAATCACAGAATGGATTAGGTTGGAAGAGACCTTAAAGATATTCTAGTTTCAACCCCGTTCTGTGGGTTGGTTGTCCCATACCAGATCAGGCTGCTCAGGACTCAACTCAGCGTGGCCTTGATTGCCTTCAGTGATGGAGCATCAACTTCTTGGGGCAGCCTGTGCTAGTGCCTCACTGTCTTCTGAGTAAAGGATTTCCTTCTGAGATCTAACCTAAGTCTTCCCTCTTCTGGTTTAAAGCCATTTTCCCTTGTCCTATCACTATTTGCCATATAAGGAGTTGGTCTCTTTCCTGTATGTAAGCTTCCTTTAAATATGGGAAGGTCACAATGAGGTCTCCTTGGAGCCTTCTCCAGTCTGAAAAGCTCCAGCTCCTTCAGCCTTTTCCATTGGAAGAGGTACACTGATTCTCTTTGTGTCCTCCTCTGGACCTACTCCAGCAGCTCTGGAAGATTCAGTAGGAGTGAAAAAAATGATGGTTGTACCATCCTATCAGCCCTCTCTTCCTTATGTTTCAATTTCTGAAGATTTGTGATATATCCATGAAGTATTTACTCTTCAAGCCTCTTTGAGGCTGTTTTTTTCTTTCTTTATTTCTTTTTTTTTTTTTTCTAAAGACAAGTAATTTCCACTTGTTTGCGTATGAGGGCTTTCTGACTGAGCTGCTTGGCAGTCACCTGTTTCTAATCCTCCTTGATTTACACATGCTTTTGGCAATTTCCCAGCTTTACTCTACTGTACTGTAAAGAGCACACTTAGCACAGGCTCTAGCTGTTAGTTTCTGAGAGGGAGGTCGGTGATTACTTCTGCCTCGCAGCCACAACAAAAGCAAAATGCTTTATGAAATGCTAAGTGATGCTGTGTTTTCCAAGTAAAGCCTTGGTTTCTTGTATCAGCAACAACTGAGAGCACTGGAAAGCAAGTCTATTTTTGCATTCCTACTGTTGTTATGGAGCCTAACAAAGTCATTCAAATTTTTGTATTTCTGTCTTCTGTTAAAGTTGGTTTTTGTTGTTTTTCTTCCATCAACAGATGGAAAACCATATATAGGCAAGCTTGGAAAGAGAGTACAAGAGACAGTAAAAGAAAACAGTGCCATGTTCATGTTAAAGAATTGCTGTCTGTATTATCAAACACGCTCAAAAACTATATGCTTTCAGCGAGAACAGAATGGATTTCAAACAAAAAAGTATGTATTTCAAAGAGTATGGAAATTTTCCTGATAATATATGCATTTCCTCCAAAACAGCCTTTATGCAGGCAGGTCATGGAAAGAACCTGGTGGACCTGTGCTATCCAAATTCCCCCAGTAGAGGGAGTTACTCAGGAGTCAAAACATCACTGTAAGTCAGAAAGCGCATACAGTACAGGACAGACCAAATGAACCCTGGATATCATGCCAAGGAAGTCTCTGCATTCAGCTTCTGGATAGTATTTTCACTTCCATTTCTTCGTTCTCTGATGCTTTGAAAATAGGTTCCTATTTGAAAATACTAGCCCTATCACCTTTCTTTAACAAAATAAAGAACTGCAACTTTAATTTCTTGGATCTTGCAAATCTAAAAGATACTTCCAGAAAGCATGTGAAATATGAATATTTTCAAAAAATATATTCTGTTCCTTCATGAAATACGTTCTCCTCTTAAAAGCCATGTGAAGTTTAGATATGTTTGCAGATAAATCTCTTCAGGTGATGCATCCAGTGTGTGCAGTGAGCTGGTGTATACTGGCATATGATGATGGCTCTTGAGAGAGGGTTTCCAGCATTTTCCAAGGAGTAAATGGAGATGGAAAGAGAGTAGCAGGATGTCATCTTCTGAAAGTTTGTACCCACACATTTAAGTTTCAACTACACGCACCCACTCAGACAGGATTCAGAGGTCTTTTAATTTCAGCATAATACCACAAATCATTCAGAACCTTCAATCAAAGATGTGTTTTAGATATACAAAGCCCTCTTATGTTCAAGACAACATTAGCAGGTTTTGCTCTCTGGAGCAAAATCAGCTTATAAGTACAGAAATAGGCTAAAGTAACATGGAGCCTTTTGTATCTGTGTAAGCGGATGGGCTCTAAGTGGGTCTCTCAGGTTGTGTTTTCAGCTCTTACAAGCCCTTAAACCCTTGATTCTTCTTTCTAGGACACTACTGCTAAGTACAAATCCCAGTATGAACCAGAGCAAAAAGCCTCAAAACAGTACTGCCGTTGTGGTAACAACTTCAATGAGCTTTGTTTCTCTGTTACACAAACAGAGAGGTTGTTATGGGATCTGCAAAGACAAGAAGAAAGTTAAGAAGTCAGATGCTAACACCAAGGAAGGGTTGGAGGAGGTGTATTCTTTGTCAAGCATTCCCAACTGGAGTCAGAATGACGTTAAAAAGTCACTCAATGTGAGCCATGCAGAGCAGCATCAGCAGTAGAAGACTGAGGGGAAAAAAAAATAACAGGCCTCACCATGTATTGTAGAAAAGGAGACTGCACATTGACATAGGATACCCAAGGCACATTTTCATGGCTGTCATGTGTCCTGAGCCTTTCTTCTAGGAAGTACAGATGTATATGAGGATTCAAGATGCAGGGTTTCTTTTTTGCTTTTTTTTTTTTTAAACAGTATTTGTAATTTAAATGTGATGTGATGGTGACACGTTTGCATTTCCTTAAGTCAGAACGTTCCCATTTTCTGCCATGAATATATATGCAGAGTCTCCATTATTTTCACACCTCTAATACTGGCTGTGGTCAGAGAAGGTGGATACACACTGGTGGGCACAGACAGTGGTTTGGCAAAACAGCAGAACAGCACAGACTGGTAACCTGGGCACAGCTGATTTTTTTATTTTTAAATGCAATATCATTTCTGATGTTCAAAATAACTTGTTTTGCCCTCATATTAAATTATTCCACAATGTGTTATCGGGAATCAGCAGCACTGACAGACTAAGGATATAAAATAAATTAAAATCTGTGGGGAGAAATAATCTTGTATCCAGTAACATACTTTGAAGGAGCAGTTACCCATTAAAGCCCATGTTTTCCCCAGGAAAATTAAAAACCTAATATAGCTTGAGAGCATTTGCTAAGTGTTTAAATCGCTTTCCTGAATGAATGAGTCAGTTTGAGGTAAATGGTGGTCAGTTCTTTTGGAGCACATATGGGTATTAGCGAGGGAAGGAGTGACGCAAATCAGTACATGAAGTGGCAAGGTATTATTTTGGTATAGTAATTATGGCCACGTAAGCAAGATCTTCACTGAAGTGTTCACTATCACTGAACAAGATATTCTGTTTTGTAGTGCTGTTAATTGAGTTCTTGTCCTTGTTGCTGTTACTCCCCAAGCTAGCCGGGATAAAGCTAGAACAAGAGTGCTTGCTTGAGCTGTTACCTGAATTATAATAAGAACAAGCTGTGGGCAACAAATACTGCACAGGCCAACTTTCTTCTCTTCTTCCTTTTTTCATCACCCTGTCAGCTCATTACTGCTCTCTTATTTTTTAGAAGCCTTCAAAAGGAGAATAACATTTATCTGAGTCTCCAGAGCTCTTCTCTCTTCTGATTGTTAGGGCTTCTCCACAGCATTGTGCTTGACAATCAGTTAAGAAAATGCATTAAAAATGTGCTGATTCATCTGGAGTAATAGGATGTTAGAGACAAGTGAAAGATGAATCAAAAGTATAAAACAAGTACTTCACTCTAGTTTCACAGTTTCAAATAAAAATATATATTTTTCAGATCTGCAGCTCCAAGATCCCATACTGCTGAGCAGGGGTCAGTATCACAAAGAAAGGATGGAAGGTATTCCAGCAAAGTTTCACCAAATAGAACTGGGGGCTCCTGAAATCTATTAGACAAGGAAGGATAATAAAGGTTAACAGCTCCCGGACCCCAGCTATACACTGCAGATTTGCAATCATATTATTGTTGATGTACACTCCTTCTGT